CTTCACAAGCGAGTTGCAGATGTAGTCCTCAACAATCCCCGTCCCGCCAGTTTCCAGGATGGTCGCCAGCAGTGCCTCTTCCGGGTCCGGTGTTTCTGCGGCCCCCGGCATCTCTCCGGCACCTTGAATGTCCCGGGTCGGCTTTCGCGCGCGGTCACTCTCAAGCCCATGGCGCAGCGGTCCAGCGTCNAGAACGTCAAAACGGCTAGAGGAGTCCACAAAGGGACACAGCGTCCGTCACGAGCTATGATCAAAATGGCCCCGTAGGGAAGCGCCGTTGGTGTGGCTCACCCGCCCCCCCCCCGCGGTCTTTCTACTAGACACAAGTGGGTTGGCGCTGTTGGCAAAGCGCTGTAAAACACGCCACCCCAAATATAGCACTCATAGTATACGCTACCAAAGACGCGTGAAGCATGGACGAGTGGAATGAGGATAGCTGTTTACGGAAACCTCACAGNGATGCAGCGGGCACGTGGCGCCAGGTGAAATTGCGGGTGGTGATTACGGTCCCAGCTTCGGTTAGCATGCGAACGCAGTCACGGGGGTGATTGAGGGCAGGACCAAGGTACCATCATTTTTCGCCCTTCNGAAACCTCAAGGGTTGAGTAAGGTTTGAGATTGCCAGACACATGGACGGGTTGAGTGGGGATAGCTGCATACTAAAACCCCATGGGTTGAGTGATGTTGGAGTGCCGGACACAGACGCGTTGAGTGAGGATAATCACATATTGAACCTCACGGGTGATTTGTGATGGAGATTGCCGGACACATAGTCTAGACGTGTTGAGTGAGGATAGCTGCATACTGAAACCTCACAGATGCATTGGTTTTTGAGTTTGCCAGACACACAGACGCGTTGAGTGGGGATAGCTGCACACTGAAACGTCACAGATGGATTGGTTTTTGAGTTTGCCAGACACGTATACGCTTTGATTGGGGATAGCTGCATACTGAAACCTCACGAGTTGAGTGATGTTGGATGGTGCCGGACACATATCGCTTTGAGTGAGGAAAGACACATACTGAAACCTCACAGGTGATTTGAATTGGAGATTGCCGGACACCTAGACGTGTTGAGTATGGATAGCTACATACTGAAAGCTCACAGATGCATTGGGTTTTGAGTTTGCCAGATACAGACGCGTTGAGTGGGGATAGCGGCATACTGAAACCTCACAGATGGATTGGTGTCTGAGTTTGTCAGACACATGGACTAGACGCTTTGAGTGGGGATATGNACAACCCGGGGTGGTTCGGTGCGTCGGGGAACAGTTGCGTCGCTTGGATGTGTCAAATGTGCGTTGCGTGTCAGTTGGCCCTTGCTGGGCGGTATCACAGCTGTAGTACGCTGGTTGGCGTATGTNTAGCTACATACTGAAACCTCACGAGTTGAGTGATGTTGGATAGTGCCGGACACATATCGCTTTGAGTGAGGGAAGACACATCCTGAAACCTCACAGGTGATTTGTGTTGGGCGGTACCACAGCTGCAGTACGCTGGTTAGCGTATGTGGTAGAGAAAACAAAAAGAGTGATTTATTATCCACACACAGACGCCTGGACTGTCTGCACCTGNGCGGTACCACAGCTGTAGTACGCTGGTTGGCGTATGTGGTAGAGGCTTGGTAGAGAAAACAAAAAGAGTGATTTATTATCCACACACAGACGCCTGGACTGTCTGCACCTGACGGTTACAGTAAAACAGAACGCCTTCACAATACCGTATCAAACACATACAGCAGAATAGAGTCGGTCTTGCACAGCAAACACCCCAACATGTCCTCTCAAGAACGTACGTCATTCTGTTACATGAGACTCGAATCTTCTCTCGATGTCCTCCCAAATAATGTCCTCTCGAAAACAACTCACGAGTACATGCGATCTCAACTCAAAATTAAATAGTCATTACCTGCCATTTCAACAAGCAGCGAAATCATTCCTCTTACAAAGATGTCCCGAGTTTCCTTCAACATTCAACCCCTAAGATTACGAAGAGGGGAGGTGACTACATTCCTAGAAGCTGGCGACGGTTGTTGAGAAAGTTAACCGTTCCTAGGTTCTTGGTCAACATATCAGCCTTCTGGAGGTTGGTGTCGATTTTCTTTAANCCTTCAACATTCAACCCTTAAGATTACGAAGAGGGGAGGTGACTACATTCCTAGAAGCTGGCGACGGTTGTTGAGAAAGTTAACCGCTCCTANTAGGATCATTTTGCACGCCTTGGACATTGCGACGTATTCTGCCTCAGCCGACGACGTGGCAGTGACCGTTTGCTTTACACTTGTCGTGTCCACCGGGCCACCTGCGAGGGTAAGAACGACCCCAGTAGTCGATTTTCGATCGTCAAGATCGCCTGCGAAGTCAGAGTCGACGTAAGCGGTTAGTTTATCTCCGCCTTGCGCGTCCTTGCGGTAGGTGATGCCCAAAGAGGTCGTCCCCTTCAGGTAGCGCATGAGTCGTTTCAGTTTGGCAAGCGCCTTCGGTCCTGGCTAACACCCAGTCGAACACGTCGTGGTCGTAGAGCGACTGCTCTTCATCGTTCATGCTCGCTCTCCAGCGTGCTGCATCCGGTCCACTCATCGCTTCATCGTAGGTGGCAGGATCGGCAGGCATGTAGCCCACCTCCCCGGGACTGCCTCTCCCGAGGTTGCCGAAGTCACTTCCAGTCACCATAGCATGTTCGGTCCTCTCGTACGCCTGTTCTTTCGTAAACAGATTCAACCGTTGCGGCGCCACGGAGTTCCTGCTGCTGCGGCGAGGTGCCGGTGCTTCCGGCTCCGATTCGTCGGATGATTCTTCGTTAT